GCCACATGGACCCAAATAATAATAATAATAATAATAATAATAATAATAATAATAATAATAATAATAATGAAAATTTAAAAAAATAAAATAGGATACAAATTATTATACATATTAATAATAAAACAATAAATGAAATTTCAGATTATTCAAAAAATAAAAAGTAAAAACATCACCAAATGCAATGAGAATTTAAAGAAAATAAAATGGGATAAAATTTATTATACATGTTAATAATAAAACAATAAATGAAAATTCAAATTATTCAAAAAAATATAAAAGCATCATCATTTACATTTAACAAATAAAAAATGCAATATGAATTTAACAAATATTCATATGAAAATTCATGAAAAAATGCAATCACAAATCAAGAAAAATGCAAACGTATTCTCCATATTATTAATCACAACAACATATAAAAAAATCACAAATATTCATATAAAAAATAAAGAAAAAGTTCAATATTTAACTAATTATTGATACAAAAATAATCAAGAAATATTCTATAACCACATATTTCAGCATATTTTTTCCATGATCTTCAACAAAAAATGCCCAAAAAATCCTACATATCCATAGGAATCACCACACATACAATGCACAAAAAACCCAATATAAATATTTCGGATTTCTCACTTATGAAAATCTGAAAAAATCAATTCAGCCAAATATTCATCCAAAAAACCAAAAACATAGAGGGGGTTCATTTGGGTGGACTAACCTTTGTTCGTCAGTGTTTGGATGGTGGGTTGTCGCTGTTAAACTTGTGCCATAACAGATCTGAGAACACAAAAAAGAGAGGAGTTTCAAGCGTTAAAAAAACCCACAAAACTAGTTCAAGTCAAAGAAAAAATGCATAGATCGGTGCACAATATCAAAACGACTAGTTCAACAGTCGTTTTTTCTCACCGTCGATCATCGCCGATCGCCAAGGTGGTTCGTGCGCCGCCCCCTACATGTCTTGCGTTCGAATGGAAGAAGAAGGAAGAAAACCCTCGTGCGGGGGTATAATGGGGGATTAAAATAAAAAATTAGGGACTGAATCGTTCCATGTTATTCGAATAAGCACTTCCCCAATAAGTGTTGAAAAAAAAAGCAACTCCCATGTCAAGTGCTTCTTTTTTTAAACAACAGATCATTCCTAGCCTTCCAAAGCTCTCAATAGATTATGACCATCAAGGCAAGCCAGCTTTGCCAATCCTGGGGACTAAAGCTCATTTTGATCCAAGTAGAAACAATTACTGAAAATTAACCACTCTAGATCGGTAAGCCATCGGACTAATGAGCCAGGTTGCTATAGTGAAGTGACAATGAAGAAACAAGTGATAGGAATCCTCTATCTCTACTCCACACCTCATACACTTCCCTTGCGAATTGATTTTCATTCTTTGTAAGTTAGAATTTACCGCAATGACGTTTGAGCATAACCTCCACATGAAGTTCCTCACCTTGTTAGGCACTTGTAATTTCCAAATCAGCGGGGCAGGCAAGTATAAAACGCGGGCACGATTCCTCAAACCACAATCCTATTCAATTTTCCTAGCCAAATGGCATCCTGACTTGATCGTATATTCACCATATGAAGAAAACACCCAGATTAGCTTTGTCTTCCTGCTCATTGTAACTAAGGGAATACTGATGATAGCCTTATGTTCTTCCTCAAAAGAAAGTTGTGAAATTAGCCTTATGTTCCACCTTTTTGGGGACTGGAGCATTAGATCCTTGACTAGCACCACATTATTGTCTTTTGGTTGTTGAGACTAAATTTTGAAACCCAACAACAGAGCCAACCAAGGATCTACCCTCCACAATAAGCCTGGCCTCAGCAAACTTAAACCATAAAGTATCCCTTGCCAACTTCTCACTCCAACCTCCAAGAGATTCTGATTTGGGAAGTAAATGCTTTTCAGGATAAGTGCAGTGCCACAGGCTGTCACCTTCATGAAGGAACCTCTAAGCCAATTTTGTCAACAAAGCCCAATTAAGAGATTTAAACTCTCTAAAACGTAACCCACCTCTAAATTTGGAATTTCACATTCTAAACCAACTTACCCAGTAAAGTTTGTTTTCCTCTTCTTTTTGACCCCAAAACAACTTCGCCAGGAAACTATTTAGCTTACTACAAATACCATTTGGGACCTTTAAACGGGTCATGACAAAAACTGGCATTGCAACTGCCATTGATTTAACTAAACCTTCACGGCCCGCCTCTTCCAGCCACTAACTTTCCCCTTCATTTTTTTTTTCCAATTACAGATGCCTAACACTTCCTTTTTCTATTTCCAACAGATGTGAGGAGGCCTAGATACTTAGGGCGTGATAACTTGAAAGGAATTTTCAAGATCTTGCTAATGAGCCACAAAATTTGAACAGGGTGTTGTGGCTAAAAAAACAACTCAGATTTGTGCAAATTGATGAATTGCCCAGATGCAGCACAGTACGTGTCCAAGATGGCTTTAATTGTATGAGCATTTTGAAGGTCTGCTTTGATAAAAATGAGATGGTCATCAGCACAGAACATATGAGATATGGGGCACACCTCTCCGGATTTGTAACGGGGTGATGGAGGAGGATAATGCTTGGGCTGCAATGATGAACAAGTATGGAGATAATGGATCCCCTTGGTGGATAGGTTGGATGAAATTTACCTCTCAAAGTTCCATTGATGCTAACACTAAAATTAAATGACGATAGACAATTTTGAATTAGATTTCCCCAATGTGGGTTAAATCCCATTTTCTCCATAACTACATGTTAGACAGTTGTATACCCTTAGCTCCAATCAGAATGATGTACATTATGAATTTATTGTAAATGAATAAATTACATATTTGATTTATGTTCCTGTGGTGTATTTCTGTGTAATACCCTTAAACTGGACACTTATGAGACTCGTGTTAGTTTATAATGTTCACAGTTGTTGGATAAGTCTGGGGAGATTTATCCTGCCAAGACTGACACTGGTGTGCTGCCGATTGTTGGAGTAGCCTGTCTCAGCCGCTAGGGTGAGACCTAAGGCACATGCAGTGTAGGGTTAATTGAATCTTTGAACCGGACCAGATTTTCAGTATTGCTCTAGACCTTGGAGATTGATGGGCAAAACTGGAAAGTTATACCAGACCCTTAGACTCGATTATGATATTGCACTAGGTGTCGGATTGGGCTGTCTTTGATATGCTAATCAGTGAGATCCTTAGTGGGGGTCAAAACTTGGGTATGTTGGGACAGTCTGAGAATTCATCTGAGTAGGTGATCATAGTGACAGGATCAGCCCCTTTGTCGGACAAARGTAATGATCGGGGATGCACTCTCTCTGATGGAAACCAAGACTACTGGCATCCGATTTCAATTGTTGAGATTTGTTTTGCAAAATATATTTTATATGAGATATAAAAGTATATACATTATGGTTTCCAAACGTTTGCAAAAGGTTTTAATTCCCGGGATCCATGTGATGAGTTTTAGAGAGTGCAGCACTGTTCCTTGCAGTCGAGGGAGAGGCCCTCTCTTGTCGGGTAGTGTTTGATCATTATGAGCTGAGAGGTTAAGTGTAAGACCATTGAGGGTAATACCTGATGGGCTAATCTTACATTTGCCCACAGTCTCTAGGTGTTACAAGGTGGTTTGGCCCAGGGACCACTTAGGGTAAGTGTTGGGCCCATAGAACCCATGTGATGGGTTTCAGGGGGTGCACTGTCCATAACAGTGTATTCGGCCAGGCCTTGTAACAAAGGCTGGGCTGAACCCATGTGGCTGATGTGTAGATCAATGTTTGGGTCCCACGCCATACAAGGAAGCTCAACTGGGCAGCAGTTTGGAAGGCTAAGTGAGCACATGACCTTATTAGGCCTAAAGCCCATTTCGAACTGGGCTGATTTGATCAGTTAAATAAGGGG